TTTAAGTTGCATTATTATTTTCTAACTCATTTACTATAATGAAGAAATAGACTTGGGGTCGTTTGAATTTATGGGCTTCGCTGGTGGCCCTAAAGGTAAAGAATCCACCTGTAATGCATAGACCCAGGTTGGATCCCTGGGTTGCTAAGATCTCATGGAGAGGGAATGGCAACCCACTCCAGTATTCTTGCCTGGAGAATCCCATGGACAGAGGAGCCTGGAGGGCTACAGCCCATGGGGTCACAGGGTCGGACACAACTGAGTGACTAACACTTTCACTTCATTTGAATGTGGCCTTGGCAACTTAAAAGCTTTGTGATTTGGACACTCCTTTAACTTCTCCAAGCTTCAACGTCCTCCTCTAAAATGGCGTTGAACTCAAAGGGCTAAGCCGAAGATTCTATAAAATGGGAAAGGCACAGGGCCTGGTATGTGGGAAACATTCAGTCATACTTTATTAAACCTGTATTGTAAACATTTATGGCGGTATCATTTTGGAATCCCTTATCACTTCCTCTGATAAGCATTCACCTAGTTACAATTCAAAACCATAGGCCTTAGAGCTCATCCTTCTCTCGCTTTCCATCACATTAATAATCTGAATCCAGGACTTCTCTGGTGGTCCAGTGGTTAAGAATCCACGCTTCCAGTGCAGGGGACCCTAGTTCAATCCCTGGTGAGGGAACTAAGATCCCACATGCTTCAGGACAACTGAGCCCTCACTCCGAAACTACTGAGCTGCAAGCTGAAATGAAGATCCCACTTGTGGCTGCAACTAAGACCCAACGCAGGCAAATTAAAACAAAATCTTAATTATAATAATAATCTGAATTTACAGACAAGAACACATTAAGGAAATTTCCTATTTAAAACAGCAATAGCTAATGCTTATTGGACATTTAAAATGGGCCAAGGGTGGTTGTACGTGCTTTTCTCGGTTTGTCATTTAATCTTCACAATAGTCCTGTAAAGTTGACCCCCATTTTACAGATGAAGAAACTGAGGCACAGATAAAATCATTATCCCAAGGTCCCACAGCTAATAGGAGGCCGGCAGTGGGGGTGGGGAGGGGGGGTGCCGCAGGATTTAAATACACACAATTTCACCATGGAGTGTCTGCACTTTGCCACTCTCTCTACTGCAAGTTGTTTTTTTTAATGGATTTTTAAATACAGACCTACCTCTTTGGTAATGTTGGGTATTGAGTCATAAAAATCATGGGCTTCTTAAGGAGTTTTCAGAAATATTGTGTTGCTCTCAGTCGTGACTGACTCTTTGCGACCCCGTGGACTGTAGCCCACCAGGCTCCTTTGTCTGTGGAATTCTCCAGACAAGAGTCCCGGAGTAAAAAAAAAAAAAAAAAAAGAGTCCCGGAGTGAGTTGCCATGCCCTTCTCAGAAATATTAGATCATCATTTAGTTACGGTTGTAGGCAGGGCCATAAGTAAATAACCCAGACCTGGTAAAAGTCTCCTGAGAAAGAAACCCCACCATTTCCGTTCATAGATCATTCCAAAGTTTAATAGTCAGGAAATTCTTAAATGACAACTAATTTAACTCTCTTATCTGCAAGCTAAGTCCCATTCCTCCGGCTGATAAACCCCAACATTTCCAATTTCTCTTATTCATTCACTCAACTGTTAAGGAAACATTTGTTAAGTGTGAACTATTAACAAAACTTTTATTAAGTATGTGGGGCCCAGTTCTATCACTGACCTTGGAGCAGAAATGCTCTTAAGTTCTGATAGGATCCATCGGGAAACTGGCCAAGCCTATGTGCACCTGTGTGTGTTAGAGGTGCGGTTGCAGTGACAGGGTCGACAGGAGACCCTCATTTATGGAGGTGGGCACACAGATTCAGGCAGCGCCTTGCAGCCCACTTGTGGCCTTAACATACAATGAAAAATCTCAACACAAACTCAGCTAGCACAATCCCCCAGGAGGTGGTGAGAGAGGAGGTTGGAAATGGGCCAGTCCCCAGCAGCCCTGTCTGGAAAACCTACACTTTCCTTTTCCTGCGTCCTAAATCTGTCCAACACCCCCAGCTTGCCATCTTCCCTGGGTAAACTGCTTTCCAAGTACAGAAGACTGTAATTAAGTGGACTGTCTCTTCCACAAACACAATACTTCAGAGGCTGAATGAGAAAGGTCCAGGTGTGATGTTGTCAACCCGGGAAGGCTGCAGACTGGGAGACACGAGGTCTGGATGTTGGCTCTGGGTCCAGTGTGCTGCAGTCTGTTTTTACCGAGCACCTAAGGACCTGGGATGCTGAAGGAAGACCCTGTCTCCACCCGCAGAAAACTTACAATCTACCTGGAAGATACAGACAAGCGCAAGACCCTGTGAGGAGCCACACGCGTTACAAGGCGGTAAAGAAGAGTTACAAGACAATCCTGTGCCAGCAAAGGTCCGTCTAGTCAAGGCTATGGTTTTTCCAGTAGTCACGCATGGATGTGAGAGTTGGGCCATAAAGAAAGCTGAGCACCAAAGAAGTGATGCTTTTGAACTGTGGTGTTGGAGTAGACTCTTGAGAGTCCCTTGGACTGCAAGGAGATCCAACCAGTCCACGCTAAAGGAGATCAGTCCTGTATATTCATTGGAAGGACTGATGTTGAAGCTGAAACTCCAATACTTTGGCCACCTGATGCAAAGAACTGACTCATTTGAAAAGACCCTGATGTTGGGAAAGATTGAAGGCAGGAGGAGAAGGGGACGACAGAGGATGAGATGGCTGGATGGCATCACAGACTCAATGGACACGGGTTTGAGTAAACTCTGGGAGTTGGCGATGGACAGGGAGGCCTGGGGTGCTGCAGTCCATGGGGTCGCAAAGAGTTGGACACGACTGAGCGACTGAGCTGAAAACCGACTATGATCCAGCTACCCTCGCACTTCATTCAACCTAGATTTTGTTCACTAAAAATTGAGATAATTCCTGCTTAATCTACTTTACGGTGCTCCGGGGATCTCAGAGGTGAAAGCTCCTCGGAAAGCATAAAGGGCAGTTCCCAGTAGGGACTGTTGATTAGCGACGTAATGGTGCTAATCTGCACACCTAAAGGATGTTTTATTCAGCGGTGCTACAGGTTAAGTGGAGCGGAGAGCTAGAACGGTTGCAATACGCTGGTAACCTGCTCCAGCGTTAAAAAAAAAACCAAACACAGGCTTGATCTAATGTGGAGGGGACTCTACATTAATTCGGAGCAGACTCCAAACTCAAATCCTCGGAAACCGACGTCTCTGTCTGAGCACCCACGGCCACTCCGCTGGTTCCCGGGGGTCACTCTCCGGGCGCCCGCAACACCCGACACCCCGAAAACCCCAGATCGGGGTCCCGAGCTCCCGGACCGATCCGCGAGCGCCCCCTGGCGGCCATCCTTGGACACTGCCCTCTCGGGGCGCGGGCGCGGGGCCGGACGTCGCGGGGTGGGTGGAAGGAGGGATGGGGGTGTGGTCTTCTCGCGTGAACAAATGGCGTCATCGAAGCGACGGGCCCGGAAGGAAGTAGCGTGCGGAGGGGTGTGGCGGTTTCTGCGGTCGCACTGGGGGGTTCGGCAGAGTACGGAGCGCCTGGAGGGACAGACAGCCTGGTACGCGGCCCGCGCCCCTTCTCGCGCGCGCTGGGCCTCCGTGAGGCCCCCGGGCCGGAGCTGACTGACTAGCGGCCCTCCCTGGTCGCCTGCACAGCGTCCTGTGTCCCTCGGGAGAGGGCGAGCAAGCCCTTCCCGTCTCGTTCCTGCCCCACTGTAGCCTCTCGGCGGGGCCGAGCCGGGGCTCAGGGAGGGCTCCGACCCCGCGGCTCCTGAGGGGCCGCGCGACCCTCTCTCGGAAGAGGGCGGGGAAGGGGCGCGCGGTGGGGCGGAGGGGGAAGGGAAAGGATTTTTTCCGCCGCTGCCGATCGGTAGCCGGAGGCTGCGCGGGGAACGTCGAAGAGCCTCGCAGACCGACGTCCGCGCCCGAGTTCAGTCAGACCCGGGGGGCAGAGTCCACACGTCGCGCCTGCGAGCCCAGGGCGCGCAGAGTCGGGAGCCTCGCTGTCAGTGTGGAGAAGGAGACGGCACCCCCACTCCTGCCTCTGGCCTGGTGAAATCCCATGGACAGAGGAGCCCGGCGGGCCACGGTCCGTGGGGTCGCAGAGAGTCAGACACGACTGAAGCGACTGAGCACGCAGGGCGTTCTCAGTTACTGTCGTTTCTTCCAGATCAATCGGGGTTCAGGAAATGAGCCTCTGGGTGCTCATTCTTTCGCGGCCCGGTGCCTGAATGCTGTCGACCCAGGAGCCCCTGTCTTCCCAGCCTGGGGGACCCCGTTTCCCCCCGCTCTAACCGTGGGCTGGGAGAACCTGTCAAGTGTAAAGTGCCAGTCAAGCATATGGGCGGGAGCGTGGCTTCATCCTTGCCCAGAGCCCTGTATCTGGCTAGGGCCAAAGGAAGAACGGAGAAGGTGGAGGAAAGGCCAGAGAATCCCGCCCTGCTGAACTCTGCTTGCAGGCTGTCTTCGTGGCCCCAGCACCCGAAAGGAGTCAATAATGGTTTCCTTTGAAATGGCAGGCAATTAGGACTGGGAGGCTCTGACCAGAATTACACAGCCGCAACCGCCCGTCACTTGACATCCTCTGTAATTTGGGGCCAACATAACTGCAGCTGCCTCTTTCCCTGCTGACATGCGTGGCTCCAGTGACAGCCCGTTGGTGTTCACAGGAAGAGAGGGCTGTGTTCTGAACGCTGCCCACCTGGCGCGGGTTCTCCCCTGGGCCCGCGGGCTGTGTCTGGAGCCACTGCCTCTTGCAGAAGGTGGAGAGTGTAATTCCACAGCTGAGGCTGGCGGGGGTGGGGTCGACTGAGAGCAAGGAAGAAGAGGTGTAGATCTAGCCTGGTGTTCACACTACTACAGGTTGGACATGAGCCACTTGCAGGAGCTCAGCTTGGGGAGCTACTCTGGCTGCCAGAGCTCTCCTCCCACAAGTCAGGGCACACATTCTCCTGTATCTTTTCCCCCAGGGTAGACCTTTGCTGATGGCTCAGTTGGGAGCGGTTCTGGCTGTGGCTGCCAGTTTCTTTTGTGCCTCTCTCTTCTCGGCGGTGCACAAGATAGAAGAGGGACATATTGGGGTGTATTACAGGTAAGGCAGCGATGGGGAGAAGCTGGCGACTTCCTGTCCGATGACTCAGCTAGTCAATGTGTAACAGATTCTGCGGGGCAGGTTGCATTTACATTGTATTGGATAGGGAAGTCTTCAGACTGAGCTTTGTGTCAGTGACTATGGAAGGGGAATACAGACACGCATGTAAATATATAGAGAATTGTAAAGATGAAACTTAACTAGTCTGATGCCATGGATCATAACTGATACATGTGTTAGGTTTAGAGAGAAATGGAAAGGCAACCATGCTCCCTGAAGATCATCTCTGAAACACTGTTCTCCTGCTTCCCTCTGGGCATCTTGGTACCACAAGCTAACCTCTGAGGAGTGCCAGTTCTTCATGGCAACTTGAGATATAATTTGGACCTGTGCTTTAAAATTAACATTTCGGGGGAAATGAGAGAGACTGCAGGTTGATTTGTACCCACTGAGGCAACCTCTAGGATAGTGGTACTTAAATAACCATTCCATCACTTTATTTTGATTGCTCTTTAAGAGAAAAAAAAATGTATCTGTGACTTAAATAACATGAAGCAAAGAAGCACTTGTAAATCTTGGGTTGCTTTCCTTTGAGTAAGCTCCATAACCAAGTTTTTGCTTTAAATCTTTGTGAACTTCTCATATGCCTTTATGAACTCCTTCTTAAAGCCCTTTGATGCTTTTTCTCTGGCTGCCAATAGCAAGTTCTAGAAGTCTGATTGGCTTTCACTCTCCCCTTTAACTGTGTTATCCCACTATCTGCTTCTACATCTTCCAAAGTGAAAGTAACTCAGTCATATCCGACTTTTTGAGACCCCATGGACTATACAGTCCATGGAATTCTCCAGGCCAGAATACTGGTGTGGGTAGCCTTTCCCTTCTCCAGGGGATCTTCCCAACCCAGGGATCGAACCCAGGTCTCCCACATTGCAGGCGGATTCTTTACCAGCTAAGCCACCAGGGAAGCATATGTCTCCAAAAATGACTTTTAATTCTATTACCATTCACATATAGCATAACTACAAAGGTAACTCTACGGCCCCTCAAAAATATTTAGATGGTTTATAAAGTTTCCTTAAAATTATTCTTTTGGTTGGTTGTGTCACTGAACTCCAACATTAGTATCATTAATTGGTCACTGTATTAGTGAATTTAACTGACCTTTGGATTCTCATAAGCTCAACAGATGTGACAAGAATAAAACACACCTCCTCTCTTAGCTAAGAATCTGCCTGCCAAAGCAGGAGTTGTAAGAGACAGGGGTTTGATCCCCGGGTCAAGAAGATACCCTGGAGAAGGAAATAGCACCCCACTCCGGTATTCTTGCCTGGAAAATTCCATAGACAGAGGACCCTGGTGGGCTACAGCCTGTGAGGTCGCAAAAAATCAGGCTCAACTAAAGCGACTGAGCACATGCACCTCTCTTATCTCAAGGATAGCCAGGGATTCTACTGTCTTTATTCCACTTTGTCTGTGTGCCATTTTTCTCTCTGCAAAAGCATGAATAATGGTTTTAGGTTTTACCATCAGGCTTCTTAGACTAATAGGGTCGAGCTGAGAGGAAGAAACGGATCCGTGGACATGGCTCTGGCACTTGTCCGTCTGTCTTAAATGCTTATGGGGCTGCAGAGAAAGTGGGCCCAAACTGTATCGATGTAACAGACACGTCTTTGCTAAACTGAGCCTGCTTGTCTCTCCCTCCACTGCAGAGGTGGTGCCCTGCTGACTTCCACCAGCGGCCCTGGCTTCCATCTCATGCTTCCTTTCATCACATCATATAAGTCTGTGCAGGTATACTGGGCTTGGGGGGCAGGGTTGGATGACTACAGATTTGGGGTGGTGATTAATGCATGATTTAGAATGATTTAGCCCTTGGATGAGTGGATGAGTGTGATGCCTTTTCAAGGAATCATTTAAGAATAGATCATATATATATAATACAGGTAAAAGGTATGAGGCTCCATGAGCCATTTACTATGGAGTTTTACTTAATTGTTGAAATAGCTGAATGGGGTCATTGCCTTGGCCCATAGGTCCCAGGTGGGAATTATGTCTCTACTTCAAGACAGAGCCAGAGAAGAATCTGTTCTGAATGCACAGAAGGAAAAGTAGGATATGTGTGCGTGTATGTTATGTGTGTGTGTGATAAACCACGGGCTCCCAAGATAGATGGAAATAAAACATGGTAATTTTGTTGGTTCTTATTTGAACATGAGAGATGTGAACATAACTTGTGAGGGGTGCAGGTTGTTGAACTTAATGAAGGGAAATGACATCTAAAATAGGGATAGGATTAGCTATGACAGATCTTAAGCCAGGCTGAATTAGACTAGTCATCTTTGAAGTATGTCCAACAAGAGGAATAAGAAGATTTAGAGAATGACTTTTAAACTAACCCAGGAAAGTATCCTGGGTTACCTCATCAGCATTTGCCCTGTAGGTTTCTTCTGCCATTTGCTATGCTTTATGGTTTTCAAAGTGCATTCATGCATATTATCTCATTTGAGTCTCCCAGTAATCCTGAGAATGGGCTGAACAGGTTTTACAGGCTGAGAGGTTAAATAATATGCTGTTTCCAGACTGGTAAATGGAAGAGATGAAAGTAAACAGGTCGTGAGACTCCTAGTGCAGAGTCTTTTCCACTAAACCATTATTACTCAGCTTGTTCATATGGTGGTTCATTTACAGCGAAGCTGCGGTGGTACTTTTGCCTGGTTTAGCCTCACACACTGCAAATAAGGAGGATTCAGTGGGGGTATTCATATTTAACAGAGGCAAAGCTTAACCCAAATAAGTATTCAAGACCAAGGCCAAGGGATTCCCAAAAGAAGTCACTTTCTTGGTCACGTCTCACCTCACAGCATCTTCTGTCTCTCCTATTTCCAGACCACACTCCAGACAGATGAGGTGAAGAATGTACCTTGTGGGACAAGGTAAGGTGCCCAGAATAAAGCTGTGAAGCCCAAATAAGAGGCAGGGCCATCTGACCGGCTGCAGTAAGAGACAGTGGAAAGGGACGCGCCCCCCCCCCACCCACCCGGCTGGTTTCACCGAGTTCTCTGCCCCTAAGCTCCCTATGTTCTCAGTTGAGTAGGTGGTGGAGTCAGGTTTGGAAGGGCCTTGAAGGCCATGATGAAGGCTGTTAGCAGATGAATAACTTTTAGAGGAGGATAACTTTAACAGAACTAAATATGGAGAACGTTGGAAAGATGGTAGGAGAAGACCGCAGGGGCAGGGAACTGAAAGAGAACTGCACTGCAGTGGTCCGATTGAAAAGTCAAGGTGGTCGTTTTGAGCACCAGGGACAGAGCAACAAAAGAAACCACACGCTTGGACAAATATGGAATCGGAACTTCCCACAGGATAACTGGCCTCATCTCATCACAAAGGCTTTGAATTTGGAGGGCCCTTTGGTCGGAAAAGAGACATAAAGACATAAGCAATGCAGTAGTGAACCTTGATTAGAGCCTGGTTCCAACAGAACAGCTCTAAAAGATGTTATGGAAACTGTTAGTCATCTTGGACTACCACAGCAGAATACCATGGCCTGGGTGGCTGAAACAATAGACATTTATTTTTCTCACGGTTGCAGAAGCTCAAAGTTCAAGATCAGGGTGCCAGCAAGGTTGGTTCCTGGCCTGCAAGTGGCTGTTTTCCTGTGTCCTCACATGGCCTTTCCGCTGTGCATGTGTGGAGAGACAAAGAGATCTCTGGGGCCTCTGTCTTCTTTGCTTTACCAATACAGTCAGTTTAGGGCCCCACCGTTAACAACCTCATTCAACCTTAATCACCTTTGTGAAGGCCCTGTCTCCAAATGCACTCACTTTGGGGACTCCAGTTTCAGCATGTGGATTTGGGGGAGCACACAATTCAGTCCATGATGGGAACTTGTGGGGAAAATTAGAGAAGGACTCGTTAGATGAAGAGGAATTATCACTCTTTTCCCTAGCTTAGGAGTGATATTGTGATTCTGTAGGGGACTGTCATCACTTAGGTGATTGGTGCTTGCCAAGTGTTAGGGGGTAAAGGATTCTGACTGCAGCGTGCTTTGAAATGTTCAGCCAAAAAAAAAGAAAAAGTAGATCAATCAATAGGTAATAAAATGTTCATGATTGTTAAATTTAGGTGTTCGTATACGAGTGTTCGTTGTACTGTTCTTTTCTTTTTTTTTCTCCATTTATTTTTATTAGTTGGAGGTGTACTGTTCTATTCTGTATGTTTGAAAGTGTTTTCTAATGAATATTGAGGGCAAGGGGGGAGGGGGCTGAATTAAACTGATGGTGAAAACAGTGAGAAACACTGACCAAAACATTCCACATTTTTAAGTTCTGAGAACCCTGTGACCTTCTTTAGTCTTTTCCCTGTGACTGGTAGCTTTATTCAAAAGGCTTTGCAGAGCCAAAAGATGTGAACTACTCTTCTTTTATCCCAAAAGTTTCACTTTTGTCCTAGTAGAGACGTTTTTAGGAGGTATGATTTCTTGGGAGATTTTATGATAGAAGCTCAGAAGGTCTCCTGCCTTCAGATCCACACACCTGTGACCCCCATAAACCCTCCTCCTTTCCTGCCGAGTCCCACGCGCGCGCGCACATACATACCACCACCACCCTGGGAGAGGCCCAATATTCCCAAGCTCAGCAGTGACTGCACTGTCTGCGCTTCCTCCAACAGCGGTGGTGTGATGATCTACTTCGACAGAATCGAGGTGGTGAACTTCCTGGTCCCACACGCAGGTACCTGCTTGCAGTACACCTCCCCTGCCCCACCTCACCCCTCCCCTGCAGCCCACTCTCCCTGGCATCATCCCCAAGTCTCCCCCCACCAAACCCCCGTGTCTGTTGTAGCATCTTGGAAGGGACAGCCCATGTGTCTGAGAACGTGCCAGGTCCCGCCCTCCTCACTCTGAACGTCTCCTTCCCTGCAGTGTATGACATAGTGAAGAACTACACAGCCGACTACGACAAGGCACTCATCTTCAACAAGATCCACCACGAGCTGAACCAGTTCTGCAGTGTCCACACACTTCAGGAGGTCTACATCGAGCTCTTCGGTAAGAAAATCTTTTCGGATGATCACCTGCTGCCTGATTCAGCTGCCCACAGGGCAGGGTGGGTACCAAGGGACCGGAAGTGGTGAAGAGCCAGTGCCCGGGAAGCAGACAGTCACACGGGGCACTCCCAGGAAACACGGGTGCCGATGGAAGAAGATGGTGAGAGTGGTTGAGTGTTGGACATGGGAGTCATAGTGAACAAGAGGACTCGCTCCTGCCCTGCATCAGACCTGGGATGGAAATATGTTCCCATGTCCCTGAACTTCCTTCTGTAATGAAGAGGGGTCAGTTCTAGGAGAACCTTAGAGATTACCTAGCCCAACATCCTCCTTTCAATTTAAGGATACCAAGGTCCCAAGGGAGAAAATCCCAGAGCTGGCTGGGAGCAGAGGTGAAGTCCAGACCTCCCTCCCTTGGCTTCTGGCTCCATCCACCCCACCCTGGAGGAAGGGCACAAGGACAGTGATGAGAACCGCCGGGTTACACTTTTTTTGTTGTTTGCTTTAGTGTGTTTTTTTTTTTTTCGGCCGCACCACGAGGCATGTGGGATCTTAGTTCCCCAACCAGGGATCAAACGCACACCTCCTGCACTGGAAGCGTGAAGTCTCAACCGCTGGCCTCCAGGGAAGTCCCAAGGGGTCACATTTAATTCTAGAAGTGGGACAAGGACTGTTAACTACTTTGAGTTCCCAGAGCCTTTGTGGCTTTTGGTTGTTGTTAGTGATGGTTTTTTACCCTATACCCATAGAGAAGAATAGGAAAATGCTTAAAACAGAAAGAACCCACTTTTGTCTTAAGTTGACACTTTCTGAACTTTTTTCCTGATCAACAAAAACATAGCCTGACTTCAGCAACAATGCAAAGAAGCATTTCAGTAATTGTTATAGCTCATTTGGGGTAAAGCGTTCTATTAAATTCACTGCTAGGAGTGCTCTAGAAGCCAGGGCTAAAAACAAATGAAGTTTGCAACCAGTGGTATAACTATTCTTAATGCCAGGACCAGCCAGTGGTTTTGCCCAGGAATCTTAATTTAAAGGACTTCAAAGGACCTGGAGTGAGAACATCCCGTAGACAGAGGTGGAGTCGTTGGCAACACCAATGATTTTAACTAGGCAAACAGCCTTTTGCCCTGTGTTTCAAATTTGGGAAATCATCAGAAGCCATGTTAACTTTTCTGCAGATGAAAACAGATATAAATTCACTTTATAGACTTTGAAGTTTCTTCCTGTGTTTGGATTTGGTGTGCTGTTTAGAAAAATTCAGTACATTTGCTTTTTTTTTTTTACCTCAAACCGATAGAATTTCATAAAATATCATTAGTTTTCTCTCTAGCCATTGTTTTAGAACTAGTGCCAGTAAATGAACATTACAAAGCATTTGCAACAACGAAAGATCTCTGATTTCTATGAAGAGAGAATTAAGATGTGAGATTGTTCTGCATTAGAAAACTTCTGTCTTGTCTTCAGATGAACTCGGCAGCTCAGTAAAGTAAAGCTTCCTGTATGGAGGAGCTGGGGGTTTATGTTTGCGTTGGAATATTTTCCTTTTTAAAGTTCATTCTTGCCAGCAAGCACTGTTTTGCTTAACATCCATTTGCATCTGCAAAGGAGAAACTCATGTCTCTAATCCTGTGTCCTGATAATGGAAAGGTTTTCTCCGGTCCCCTCCTCCCAGTACTCGTAGCCCTAACTTTCAGCCTGATGCAGTTTTTATCACCACTTACTCCGAGGCGTCCATGTTTCCCGTTTGAGGAAAATGTTATCCAGTACTTTGTGTTTACTTAGTTCAGTTCAGTCACTCAGTTGTGTTCAACTCTTTGCGACCGCATGGACTGTAGCGCTCCAAGCTTCCCTGTCCATCACCAACTCCCGGAGGTTATTCAAACTCATGTCCATCAAGTCAGTGATGCCATCCAACCATTTCATCCTCTGTCGTCCCCTTCTCCTCCTACCTTCAATCTTTCCCAGCATCAGGGTCTTTTCCAATGAGTCAGTTGTTTGCTTAATTTAATCAGCTCTTAACTAAAGAGCATTTGTCAGCATAACCATCACCCATAAACAACTTGGTCCTGGTGTAAATTTGTTAGTAAAGTATCTTGTAAAATATTTCTTCTAGATTTTCCTAGAAAGTTACTAGCCCAGAGCCATGGGTATCTTCCTTGACTCAGATAGAATTTAATCTGAGAAACAGCCATGTTATTAGCTTATAGGGGGTATGAGCTATCTCCCTTAAAGTTTGGCCTGTCTCTTATTTAAAATAAAAAATATGGAATGTAATGTTCATCTTTAGCCATCAAACGGTTAACACCCATGTCAGGTGTGAGGTGCTGCCCTTATGGACATTTCTGGAGCATATGCATATGTAGAAACAGTAAAACCCCTTGCTTAGTGATATGACTGTTGAAAGTACTGTTCTAAACACTAACGATCAAAGTGTAATGATTAAACATGTTCTTTATATTGACTACTGATTAGCTTGAACACATCCCCGAACCTCTGTGGGCCTCAGTTTGAGCATTTATAACAGGCAGGGAGTTAGACTTGCTGTTCCTCAAAGGCTCCTGGACCAAGAATGGCCACATAAAGCAGCTGGCTGCTGACAGTAAAGGAGGTGGTTCCATGTAGATGTCTGAGGCTAGTTTCATGGTGTCCTTTTCTCAGGGCCCTTCCAGGATCTTTTGGGATCTCATGGGTGGGGGCAGGGAAGGGAGGGCCCAGGCCAACGCTGACAGCTTGCTCTGGGGTCACAGCTAGAGCGGCGATCAATTACAGCTCTTCCAACACTCATCCATAAAATGACTCACAGACAGAAGAGTCAGGACCAAGGCAAACAACACATCAAAAGACTCAGGCTCAGGACTTCCCTGGCAGTGCAGCAGTTAAGACTGCACTTTCAGGGCAGGGGGCATGGGTTCAATCCCTGGTCAGGGAACTAAGATCCCACAAGCTGAGTGGCTCAGCCAAAAAAAAATTTTTTTGAGTTCCTGATGGATTAGTCTTCCTTGGGGCCTCTCTTGACGTCAGAGTCAGTTTTTGTTTTAGAAATTTATTAATAGATTTAGCGTGCTTGACTCCTTTCAAAATACCTGACGTGGTCGTCCCACCTTCCTTCTTTGTGAAAGATGGGCGGCCACCTTCTCTGGCTGCTATCTGTAGGGAAGGGCTGCTTCCTGACTCAAGAAATGTGCTGGAGTTGTTATTTGTTCTTTTAAAGCTCGGCTCCCTTCTGGGCGAGGTTGATGTTTTCTTGAGGCCCCAGGGAAAGGACACTCCCATCTGGCCACATAGCGGGCCCAGTGGGTGTCCGTCGTGAGAGTCTTCCAGGGAGTCTTCAGACATTTGAGCTCTGATGAGCGCTCTGCCTCCGGACGAGCTTTGGCCTGTTGGATACATTCCTGAGCTGGTGTCTTACCTGGCTGTCTACCCCATGCTTCCCTCCACCCCGTCTAGAAAGCATCTCAGCTCTGTGTTCTGTCTGTCTTGATTCCAGATCAGATTGATGAAAATCTCAAACTGGCTCTGCAGCAAGACCTGACCTCCATGGCCCCCGGGCTCGTCATCCAAGTGAGCACCACCCTGGTGGGACACCCCCCACCCCCAGGAAGGCACAGCCCCTCTTCCAGAGCATGTCCTGTCTGTGCAGGAAGACCAAGGACCCGTGGGAGCTGGTCCCTCTGCACCCCCACGTCCCCATCAAGTGCTATGTTTATCTTTCTGTGCAGGCTGTGCGGGTGACGAAGCCCAACATCCCGGAAGCCATCCGCAGGAACTACGAGCTGATGTGAGTGGGCCCCGCACCTCAGCAGAACCACCGCCCTGCCCTCCTCCCACTCATCCCATCCCAGGGCTGACCGAGCCTTGCCACGCATGTGGTCCCCCCCGGAGTGTCTGTACAGCCGTCACCCTGGGAGACGGGGCAGGCGTGTCAGGCCGCTTACCTGGGCTCCGTGACCAGAGGGCACAGACGCTCTTCAGAGGGGCGGGGAGTCCTGCGCTCCCTTCACGGCTCAAGCTGGAGAAGACAGGGAGGCGACTGAGTGGGCAGGCGGGTGCCTTTCACGCAAGTCAGTTACGCTTTGTCTCTCACAAGTGGGCTTTGAAGGAGAAGGCTAGCCGTGTTACTGTCTGCAGCATATTCACCTTCACCTGGGACCTTAAGGAGCCTTCCAGGGCCTTCTCTGGTGGTCAGTGGTTAAGACTGCACTTCCAGTTCATGGGCCATGGGTTCAATCCCTGGTCAGGGAACTAAGATTCCATATGCCGTTTGGCACAGGCAGATTTACAAACAAGACCAGACCTCCCGAGGGTGAAAGAAATGACAGCTTGCCTCACGACACGGCAGGGGGGTGGCTTCCTGGGGGCCAGTGAAGTTCCGAGGAAGCTCGTCCCCAGCGGCCTCAGAGCTGCACACTTTCCTCCCCTCCAGGGAGAGCGAGAAGACGAAACTGCTGATCGCAGCCCAGAAGCAGAAGGTGGTGGAGAAGGAAGCCGAGACAGAGCGGAAGAAGGCCCTCATCGGTCTGACTGTGCTTCAGGGGTCTGGGCAACCGAGGGGCTGGCGGGTTGGGGGCAGTTCAGGAAGCCTGGGACACGGCCCTCCGAAGCCTTCCCCACGCAGGAGCGGCCTTCGTTTTCACATGCCTCTTAAATGAAAGGAGCCCTTCCTGCTAACCCCTCATGCACAAAGACAGTAACACTGAGGAGCCCTTACAGTGAGCTTTTCTAAACACTTGCGTGCGATTCATCCCACTCCTCACACCCCCTACCCCCTCCCCGGTGAGGACGCCACCGTCCATAACCTACTCTCACTGAGCCGAAGCTCTGAGAGGCTGTATCACTGCCCAGGGTCACATGGCAGGGGAGCAAGGAGAACAGGGTTCAAATCCAGGGACTCGCCTCCCGACCCCAGGTTCTCCACCACTGCTCCAGACTGCCAGCCACGACCCTGGCCACTTCCGAAAGTGCGGGAGGGAACTCATACCTTAACCCGTAAAATATTCCTTTGGAAGGAACACCCTGTGACTTAGGAGAGAGGTCGGGGCCGGCTCCTCACCTTCATCAGAGGAGTGACTCCCCCTGCAGCTGGGCGCCCCCACTCCCTGTCTTGCACTGATACTGTGCTCCCTGGGGTGGCCCACCCCTGCCCAGGGGACCTGCGTGACTGCCCTCTGGGCCAGTGGCCCTTCACCTGGGCCCACCCACTGCCCTGCCTCAGGGCCTCAGATGGGGTGAAAGGGGAACGGTTTTGAAATATCAGAGCCCTGAGGCTTTTCTCCACTAACACAGAGGCAGAGAAGGTGGCGCAGGTGGCCGAAATTACCTTTGGGCAGAAGGTGATGGAGAAGGAGACGGAGAAGAGGATCTCAGAGATCGAAGGTGAGCGGGCCTGAAATCCCTGCTTCCCCATTCCTCAGACCCCGCCCTGCGGCCAGGGGCCCGGGCATCCTTTCCTTTGCCTTCTGCGTTCTCAGACGTCAAGTGTTCTTTGGAACATGCCTCGTTCTCTGTCCTCTGACTCAGGTTGTGGGGAGATGCGGGCCAGCCTGGGATTAATTTTCCACTTCAGTCATTCATCAGATTTGAGTTGGGTGCCTTCAGGACTCTTCCACTGGGCTGGGCTTTGGAAAAAGGGGAAGCACGTGGTCCCAGCTGTCTTGGGCCCGCAGTTTGACCCCGGAAGTAAACCAGGAAGCCAGGTCGGAGCGGCAGCCTGCTCCCCCCTGCCTGCCCCGTCCCCTGTCACAGGGGCCTGTGAGCCCTGTCGCTTTGGCGTCTCGGGGTCCCTGTGGATGTTAAGCCAGGTGTGAAGAAGACACCTGTCAGCACCGGTATCGCGAGCTGGGAAAAGGCGTTTCCTTGCTGGCTCTTCCGGTGTCACTCACCTTCCGGCCCCTGCCCTCAGCCCTCCCCTCACCCCCCCGCCCACCTCCTCCTCGAGCAAACTGCAGGCTGAGAACGCCCTCAGGGCCCAGCCCCAGGCTCCACGGCGCCCTGTCCACTTACGCTCCTGACCTGGCCTGTCGGGCTTAGCGGCCGCGGAGGAGCCAGTGAGGATTTCATGGATCAGTGGTTCCTCACGGGGAGCTCTGAGCCGGGCGGCACATTTCTGTTTCTTGTAAACACAAGTCACCAGGTGCTAAGGCCAGCTGAGCTGGCCGCTTGCTCCCGGCCAGCCTGCAGGCTCCGGCCAGCCGGGGCCCTGCTGAGGCTGCACAGTGAGAACCCACCTTGCTTCCCGGGTTTTGGTGCAGGTGTTGCTCACATGAGGTTGGCCTCATTCTCAAGGACAGGGAGGAAATATCAACAACTTTGTATCAGTTCTTGACCGAAAGCTGGTCTCAGCAGATTAAGGAAGGGGATTGTTTACCTAGTAGAAGTTTAAATCGGTCGTAGTTCAAACAGGTGTTAGTCTGGACCATGGCCTGTAATTCTCTTTGAATCGGGCTAGCTTAACCACTGCTAACGAGAGCCTTTCTGAAACGACCGATGGAAATAGATGTAGTTGGAAACGAGCTGTACTGTTTTGTTTACGGCAGTCAGTTTCAGGGCAGCTCCACTTCAGGCCGCATCCAGAACCTTCTTCGGGCTTCCGTGGCTCTTGCTGTGTGGCACAGGGGAGAGGGCCAGGGCCAGGGCAGAGAGCTCAGAGACAGGAGGCCGAGGTGGGGTCCTAGCCCTCTCCTACCCACCCCAGAAGGGGTCGGTGGGTGGAAAGAGGATGTGTGTTTCCATGATGCCATCAGAAAAGCCGCTGTCAGGCACAGCGACAGGCTTGCACGTGGTCAGCTAGTCCCCGCCACCAGGAGATGCTGGCACAGCACTTTTACATCCTGGTCAGTTTTCACAACTTGCGAAACAGGAGAAAATGCCTTTTTCCCAGTTTCGTAAATAAGAGGATGAGAGCCCAGAGTAACTAGAGCCGTGTGCCCAGGATCACGGGGCCAGTCGGGAAAAGTTGCAGGGACCTGCTTTCTGATGGCCTCTGTGCTTTGATTCTCTGCATTCTTTCCTTAAGATGCTGCATTTCTGGCCCGGGAGAAGGCCAAGGCGGACGCTGAGTGCTACACTGCCATGAAAATAGCCGAAGCAAATAAGGTAACGGGCCAGCGCTGCCTGGTGAAAAGAACGTGTGTTACACTGTTTGCGACCACTGCCTCCCACCTGCCCGGCCATAATCGAGGACTCCTGTGCCTTGTGGGCCAGGGCCTTCCCTTTCCCTTGGACCCTGATAGAAGTTTAATTGTGCTGATTTTTTTAAATATTTATTTATTTATTTATTTGGCTGCATCAGGCCTTAGCTGCAGCGCGCCAGCCCCGGAGCGCACCAGCCCCGGAGCGCGCAGGCTCAGCAGTCGCCATGCGTGGGCTTTGTTGCCCCGCGGGGTGTGGGATCTGAGTTCCCTGACCAGGGATCGAACCCCTTGCCCCCTCATCCCCATTGGAAGGCAGATTCTTAACCACTGGACTGTCAGGGAACTCCTTCATGTTGCTGTTAAACACAGACATTCCTAAATCTCTCAGAGTTCTCGCCTTGAGGACCTGAGATGAACGCCCTCCCGGAGAAGTGGCTGTGCGGTAGTTGTTCAGTCGCTCGGTCATATCCGACTCTGCAACCCCAAAGACTTCAGCACGCCAGGCTTTCCTGTCCTCCACCGTCTCCCGGAGTTTGTTCAAACTCATGTCCACTGAATCAGTGACGCCATCCAGCCATCTCATCTGTCGCCCCCTTCTCCTCCTGCCCTCCATCTTTCCCAGCATCAGGGTCTGTACGTGGTCACTAATACAACAGCGAGACCAGGGAGAGGAGGTGGGGTGTGGTTCTCACAGAGACCCTCTCCCTGTGAAAAGTCAAGAGATGGCCCCCCAGGCTTTTCCCTGATCTGGCCTCACCACCGTCTTCTTTTGTATTTGCTTCCAGCTAAAGCTGACCCCTGAGTATCTGCAGCTGATGAAGTACAAGGCCATTGCTTCCAACAGCAAGATTTACTTTGGCAAAGACATCCCTAACATGTTCATGGACTCCGCGGGCAGCATAGGCAAGCAGTTTGAGGGACTAGCTGACAAGCTGAGCTTTGGCTTGGAAGATGAGCCCATGGAAGCAGACTCTGAGAACTGAATGTTTCATTCCACAACCTCCGATGACTCTCCGAGACAGATCTTTATTTTTTAATGAGGAACCAGGATATCCCCTCCCTTCCACACTACCTTCTTTGACTCTCTTCCACATACTGTGGTGAAAAAAAGAAGAAATGGACCTAAATCTATTTTCCTTCCTGGGAAGGGTAGGGCAGGGACTGATGAACTGGGGTTTTATTCAGGTAAGTAGGTTACGTGATTTAGGTTAAGCTTTGGAAAAGATGGGTTAGAGCTCTGACCTCCAGGCACTGATTTTTGCCCTTCTGAGGCTGGCTTAATTAGGGGTGCTATCAACAAGAAGTGGGAGAAGTGCAGGAGGTCGCCTCCAGGTGATCTGACTGCCCTGGAGTGGGAAAAGGCAGTCTAGCCGTCTCGAGCCGCCTCCACAGTGAGAGATGCCCGTGGGTGAGGCCCAGCTCCTAGGCCAACGCACGCTTGTGAGTTTGCCAGCGGAGCATGGAGAAGCGGCCTTGGAGGATGTTGGCTCTCTGGCGTTTATGGCCAAGTGTCATGAGTCGCCACCCACACACGCCGCCTCAGGCCCAGCTGAGGGTGATCTGGTGCTAGCTTTGCAAGCTTTTCTACACACCACCCTCCCTGCCCCAGGGCTCAGAGCATGGTGGCTTCTGACCTCATTTCTGAGTCACAATTTGGCCACCACCCCCAGTTCCTTTTCAGACTTTTCACCTATTCTGTGATTTGGTTTGGTTTTGTTGTGTCTTCCCTCCACCTGTTCATTGGTTCCACTCAGCATCGAGAAGACAGGAACAAAGAACTCTCCAGTGTCTTAAAAGCTGCTGAAGTGGGACCACAGTACCCGTTCACCTCTGCGGTCCCTGCTTGGCAAACGGTGTCTGTTCCTTGAGATCAAGTGTCTTTTTTTATGGAGTGTCTATGTCAAGTGTCTCTTGTTGTGGAGATTCTGCATTGGAGAGCTCCTCTGGGTGAGAAAGATGGGCTGTTCAAAAGCTGTCCCAGTCTCAGCGCCTGTGACTTGTGCTGAGAGCTCATCTGATACAGTGATAAGAGGGAGCCTGTTCTCTGAGCGACTCGCGTCTTTAGATCCAGGGTTCAGGGGTCCCAGAGAGACAGCTGTTGGGTTTAATTTGGGGATTTGGTTAAGGGAGCACAAACCAGAAAGCGAGGTTTCGTTATGGCCTGGAGTTGGAGTCAGGGGCGGGGTTGTGCACCAGACCACCAAGTGGAGGGCAGCTGTCTGGAGTGAACTCGCAAGCCTGTTGATTTCCTCCAGGACAGGCCCTGGCTTAAGATTTGTTGCCAGCTGCCCCACCCCCACACCAAGGAGAACTCCCGCTGTACCGCCCTCTTCTTGGTGGAGCACGGTGATAATATCTGGGACAGATTTCCATGTCATTGACGAACCCACACCTAGACTGCTGATGTATCGGATGGTCCCAAAAGCCGGGAAATGGGGGAGCATTCAGCCGGCCCAAGAAGACACAAAGGGTTAACTTGTCTTGATTTAAATGTTGCCCTTCTCTGTTCTAATTTCTGGAACTTTGAATTCTCAAACCACCAGTCCTGGTCACACTTTGTGCAGGGATCCAAAATGTCCAAGGATTGATGGATGTTAATGTGTTCAGGCGTTTTTGCAGAAGGCAGTTAGTCTCCTAAGGCCAACACAAAGCATCCATCATTAAGATATACTCACCCTCCTCTCACTTCAGTGCTGTGAATCACTTGTCAGGAGCACCCTGTCACGTCCAGCATCCCTGACTTACATGTTTGTCTGCCCTTCTGCTCTGAGACTGGTTGCCTAAGCTCAGAGAACACTCCTCTCCAGTGGGATACGCAGCATGGCATCTCAGCCTGTCCGAGTAACACGCTTGCTCAGGGGGCTAACCGGAACACTGCTCTAACACTAGCGTCCCGTGACGGCCTGTCTCTTGCACTAGATCATAGGAGAGCCTCAGTGAAGTCCTGCTCCACCTGCCCCCCACAATGTCCGTCCCTTCTGTAAGCAAAAAATACAAGTATTGTACTTCCCATTTGTTTAATTCCAATGGTTGTCTGTACCTGCCTGAATAGGAAAATCATAGGAATGCGCTGTTTCCTTGGCTTGGGACAACTAACCAGTCTTGTCTTTGTGACTTCGTTTCAGTAATGCTTACTAGAGAACCTGATATGAAAACATTTTAATTCTAAACATGTTAAATATGACAGCCTGCCATTTGGCAGGCAGTAAACTCATGGCTGCTATTGATAAATGGAACCTCTATGAAAATAAGGAACCGTTTCTAAAATTCAGCTTTTGTAGGATTTTCCAAGGAAAAGTCACCTTGGTTGAATGTTTCTCACTCATTAAACTTTGCAGAAGTGATCTATATTCGGTACCTCTTTTTAATCACTTTTTAAATATCAGGACAGAATGTCCGAAAGGAAGCCACAGTTTGTTCATCTTTATCTGACTAAATCTGTAGGGATCTGTGATCATAATAAATTAAGGAGGGGGGCAGAAATTACTGGAAGAACTTTAGCAATATAGTCATCCCTTGGTATCCACAGGGGACTGGGAGCCCCGAGGATACCAAAATCTGTGGGTGCTCAAATCCCTTATATAAAATGGTGTCTTTACAACCACCTTCCGTACCCGTGTATCCACAGCTACAGAGGGCTGACTGCATTGATCCAAAAAAAAAAAAAAACAGTGGATTTTTTTATGATCTGTTGCAGTGTCTGTGGGTCTCTGTATCTTTCAACACACAGCGTCACCATTTATGGAGTAAACGGTGGAAGTGAGATGGACATATTGACTGACTGACCCAAGTTTGATTGAGGATAAGTGAATCCTGACTAGTGTCTACTCTGTCCACGGACCACTGCCGCTTTAGGTCTGTCCAGTAGGTTCTAGTCACTGTCTCTGTTGTTGCCTTTTAAAAGAAGTGATAGCCAATCACTTTGTATTTTCATTCCTCTCTATTTCTGCTTTTGTGCAAGCTGATAATTGAACGGTCAAAGCTAACTCTACTGGCAGAGAGCCTCGAGGACTGAGCGACCCCCTTTGTAGCTGAGAAATGACTCCTGTTGTATTAATCATCCTGCAAACAATATGCTGGATTCATTTGCCCTGGGTCGATAGATGGAGGAACTGTTTTGGACAACCCTGAAGGTGTGATTTTATGTGTCAGTTTTATTTTCAGTCTTGCTAAATAAAATGAGTCTTTGTATTTATTTTTCTTTTATTACAGTGAAAGTTAGCAGTAGCAGGTATTAGGCTAGGAGATACAAAGAGGTAAAGCATCTCTGCCCAGTGAGTTAAGTCACGACCCCAAAAATATTCTGATGAATATCCCCATTATCAATGTAGAAATAATAAACACAGCTAATTTATAAAAATGGCATCATTGTACAATGCAGGGGGTATAACCAATATTTTAAAATGAATATGAATGGAGCATAGCCTTTTAAAATTGTGAATCACTTATACCATACACCTGTAACAAATAATATTGTCCAACAACTATGAGTTGCAGTGGTAACTTCCCTGGTGGTCCAGTGGTTAAAACTCCGAGTTTCCACTGCAGGGGGGCCTGGTTAGGGAACTAAGATCCCACATGACGTGCTGAAAGTCCAAAAAAACAAAGTTGCATCATGGTCAGCTAGGTGTTCTCTAGCTCCTCAGAGACCAAAGAAGAGGAAATTGGCTCACAGAATAGAGCATTTTAAAAGATTTTACTTAAGACTGGCTAAAATTGGAAAGTTGGACATGTAACTTAGCGACTGAACAACAACAAAATTTGAAACAGGGAGAAGTGGTTATCTGCACACAGAAAATGAATCCAGAGATAAACACAGATAACACTGTCTTCTCTGATGGTCTGAGAAATCGGGGCCATTGTATGCTGTTTGGGATGGTGTAAATGTCCACCTCTCCATAGGGAAGACCAGATGGGCTCTAAAGGTCCTCCCCAGCCTCGGGCTCTACAGTCTGTATTGCCGTTTTCAAAAGCCAGACGTGACAGCGTGTTTGCTGAGGGGTTGCTCTCACGGCTTCTCTCCCTGAATTCATTTAAACTGGAACGTGGGCATTATTTGTCCATTTCTCTTCAGCGTCAAGTAACCAGGCAACAACTTTTTTTATTATGTTTTTTTTTTAATCCTCCCAAAAGAATCACAGTGAACTCAAAGGGAAACAATCTTAAAATCCATAATTTTTCCCCCCACAATTCAGGGCCTTAGACTACAGAGATGAATGTTTTAAAAGCTTGATGGCATTTATGGTGAGAACATATACTAGATTTTTGTATAGTTGTTATACAACTAGTTATAAACTAGTTGTTTATATGTCCTGTTTCTCTGGGTATTCGACTTTCTAATCTCTTTTCCTCTTTGTCCTTGCAAACCACTGGAGTGATTTAAAGACAGTTACTGGTGATGAGGTGACTTTCAAGGACCACATAATAGGGGGAAATGAAAGGTTAAATTAGATGGTCCATGTCCCAGAAAGAGGAAGAGAAGAAATGAAAAAAAAGGAGGAGGAAAAGGTGGAATAAAATTCACTCAAAAGTACAGCTGTGTTTAAAAAAAAAAAAAGGAAATTAAAATGATAATGAGACTGGAATCCTCATTTGTCTTTACAATCCTTTTTTATCTTTATTTCTGTTTTTATAAGGTCACAAAATGGTAGAGATGAGAAGTCCCTTAGAAATGAATCCATAAGAAGTCCTGTCCTACTCACCTTGGTCTCCTCCGGTTCCTCTGCAGAGAAGACGTCTCAATAAAGGCTGTCTAATGGATAAGGTGTTGGATAAGGTGTAGGGACGAGACGCGTGTTCATTGAGCACTCGCTTGGGGGAGCACTCGGCTAAGCTTGTGTTACGGGTTACCTTGATTGATCCTGACGGCAACTCTGAAGAAGAGACTGTTTTATACACGAAAAACTGAGGAGTTCAGTTGCTTGCCCAAGATCACAGTTTAGTGATGAAACCAAGATTCAACTTGGGTCAGTCTTGTGCCACTGCTACCCAGTCTTGCCACCACTCTCCTCATTAACTCGAAAGTTTAAATCACTCTTCTGATACTTTTGGGGGAGCCACACTCATATACACCATTGAGGTGGGGAGGCTGACCTTGCAGTTCAAAAGACCTGACCTATTAAATGAAGATACTCCTACTTATTGTCATAATGACCTATCACCCGGTCTGTTGCGTATTTATGGTTTTTAAAATGTTTTCTAAAAAGCGTATCTTCAACTTCCCTTGTGGTCCAGTGGTTAAGAATCCACTTTGCTATGCAGAGTGGTTCAATCCCTGGTCAGGGAAAAAAGATCCCACATGCTGCAGGGCAACTAAGATCACAGGCCACAACGAAGACCCAGAACATCCCCCAAAAAAAATTTGTAATAAAAATAAAAAGCATATCCATTTAAGTATGTTATGCTCACCCAGTCCTTCCTCTATACAACCCTTCACCATAGCCCTCATCACTGTTTAATCTTTGCTCCTCCCACCACTGACTGCTGGCTAGCACCTTCCAACTTTGCGTCTCTACAACAAGCATCTATGGGTATATTCATACCATGAAGGGCTGGTCTAGTCATGTTTTAGTTTTTATCACTCTGCCAGGAGGAGAAATTATCAAATCCAGAGACATTTTACTTGAACACAATTACTGCAACCCCAGTTTACAGAAAACCCAGTTTTGTGTACCTGGTAAATGGAAACTCCCCCAAAAGCC